GGCCGACCCGGCCCGGACCACCCGGTTTGACACCTCTAATTAAAATCATAGCATTGTAAAGGAAATGACTTCTTAATCTACTACTAATCATCAAGACAGAAAACACATTTTGGAGAAGTCTTCTGCGCACAAAACCACAGGAAGAATGCCCCATTCAAGGAAAAGGTTTCAGAAATAAGAAAAGTCCAAAAGAGTGATTTGCTCCCTCGTACCAAAGAGGAGTCATTTTTGGAAATTCCAAATTCCATATCTTTCAAATTCTCTAGAACCACAACACGAGATGCAGAAATTGAGAACTTGAGGTAGCTGATAACCTATCTGCATTAACAATGGTCAATACAACTTTTATTTATTTTTTATTTTTTTCACGATGGTCGGTTAACACATACAAGTTATATTGCATTGTACTGGCGCCATATGCATTAACCGTTAGCCATCTTGACATCTGGTTCAATGTGGGAGGATTTAGAGGAAATCACTGGCTTCATCCTAGCTATACAACAGGCACTTCAGGTTCATCAAGCTCGTATCCACAGACTTGCTAGACATATCGAGAATTTATGTTTTGGTTTGTTAAGACATAAATATTAATGCAGTGCCTGCATAGGATCTCCCATGTTGACATTTAGCTCATCCTGGACAAGGGAAACAATTGTTTCACTATCACTAGCCCAGAGATTGCTTCAATTTCTGTAATTGAAAGTCGACTAAATTCAATAGTAAACATGTAAACCAATCAACCAGATCTTGAGCTCACAAGAGAACTCTCCAGCTGTATTCCAAATGCAATACTGGCATAAATTTCTCAATCATTTGGGTCACAAAGAAATTGATCAACAGGTCAGTACTTACTGAACTTCCTCTCTTTTTACTTTCCACTGCAGCTACAGAAGAAGCAGCAACCGGCAGATGACCTCCTAAGCAGATTTTTCTCTGGCAGGCAGCTTTAAGAAACACGAGAATAACACTAATATATGGTGTGACATATCCAGATAGACACCTTCACAGATATGTCAAATTTGACATGGGAAAAGATCTCCAAGAACATATACAATGCAAAAACAAATCATGATACCACATTAACAAAAAGACAGTAGTTTTCCATTCCTGCAGCACTTCGTTTAATATTTGACCTATTAAGAACCATTAACAGAAGTGAAAGCCTTGACCTTGGAGGCGAGGTTTCCCAATAAAAGAAATGACTATTACTACGAAAAATTTCGACATGAAGATGCCTAATTTACCAATACTATGCACTCCAGAATGTTGCGAGGTGAAATGGATTTAGCTGGAAAATTCCAGTGAAATAATGAGATCATCAATATATAAAAAGAAAGCATACAATCGAACATCTTCCCATAAGCAAATATAAAAATTGCCTGCTCCAAAGGGAACAATATGGAAAAAGAAATGATAAAATATTATCCATTAATGGATATTTTTACTTCCAAGGAAAAAAATTATCCATACATATTTGATAACCAAATATTACAACTTCAAGCTTAGCCAAAAATGCTCTAAATATTATCTCAAGACGACTAAAACATAGATCTATCAGGCATGCATGTAAATTTGTTTACATAAACTTAACATGTTTTCATACACCAACAAAGAAAAAGATAAAGCGCAAAGTCCATATCAAGATTTTATACACACTATAAATTATAAATAGTGCTTACCAAAAGCAGATGACCAGTTGAAATTTCAAGGCGGAATTGTATCAATGTTCAAAACCAAAACTTCCTTGTCTAGTTATGGTCATTAATAGAAAATATCTAACCAAAATCTCATTGCAGAACAGATAGATTTCTCCATCAATAGAAAATTTGCATTTTGGTAAAATGTTGAATCCTGAAAATTCCTTTTCAATTTGCCAAGCCAGTCCTTTTGCACATGGGGCAGGTATTTTTCTGCATGAGCCACTTCTTGATGCAGTCATGGTGAAATTTGTGGCAACAGTCCAGTTCCCCGATATCCTGACCCTCGACGTATTCATCCTGTATTAAATAAAAAAGTAATGAAGTTTAAATTATACACACAAGCAAGATAATAATTATGACATTAAGACTTTGAGACTTTTGTGTCGACATATTACGCATTTCTTACCAAACATATACCACAGATGTCCTCCTCTTCTGGAGAAGATGATAGGAAAGTAATGTGCCGGTACCATTTTATGCGCCAGAAAATTTCCGCCTCGCTTAATCCAGTGCTAACATTTCCAATTTGCTCTTCGAGGGCCAATAATTCCTGTAGTACAAACCACTGTTAAAGAGGAAAGTTTCACTATAACAATTGAAAACGTACTAAGAGCATGTTTCATTGTGCTTAAAAGTAAAACTTACTTTCAAGTATATTGCCAAACGTGATTTTCAAAGTTACTTCTTTTACTAATAAAACTTAGAATTTTAAGAACTAAGTTCTTACTTTCTAGAAAATTAACATTTTAAGAGCATCTCCAAGAGGCTCTCTAAATACAAAATGTTTTTTATTTTAAAGAGCTAATACTTTAAAGTAAGCCCCAATAGACTCTCTATTTTAACTTTTAAAAGTAGAAAGTGGGTTTGACCCTCTAAATCTAAAGAGCCTAACTCACTCTCTATTCTTACTGTACAATGTTTGCATTTAAGAAGTCACAAATTTCAATATTCTATTTCTTAAACTATTCAAAACACATCTAAATTGATTAGTCATTAACATATAAAAAATTATGTTAAATAAAATATGAGAAGAAATTAATACACATTTCTTGAGAAAAGCAAAATGAAGAGCTAAAATAGAAAGCATTATTGGAGTGCATACAATTTTTGGCACTTTAAATTTAAAGATGCTCTCTATAATGCATAAGATGCACTTTATAAATTGAGAGTCTCGAGATGCTCTAAGCACAAACAAACATGCTCATTTCAGTCATTGACTGGCACCTCATAAGACATATCATCTACATCAAGCTCCATATCTTCATTCATGTCATAATCTTCTTCCTCGTAATGATCCTCTTCGAATGTTGAATTATCAACATTTACACGCACAACCTCATCTCTTGCTTCTTCCTCCTGAAAAATTAATTTAGGGTTTCTCAAATCCTGGAAAGCTGTCATTACTAATATATCAGATTAGAGAAAAACCAGATACCTGTGAACGATGCTCAGTTGCATCAAGATCCATATCTATCTCTGCATATACATCTTCCTCCTGAACCATTTTTAACTATCAATTGTCATATATGGAATAGAAAGGATGTATGCGATATATAAAATGAGGAAAATACATGAAAACAGAAGAGGACCTATCTGACAGGTATATTTTCAATGCCTTGTTAATGACTTTCTTTACGAAATATGTATCTTGATCTCTTGTGTTCCCACGAAAGAGACATGCCTGAGATGCTATTTTGGATAGAATTTTTATTTCTATTTGTTGGCACAATGCTTTAGAAATCTTCAATTCGGAAAAACGCAAAACGGTGAAATATATAGTCTCTTTCTATTAGAAGCTACATAATGCAGCCAGTGAACATGTAAATGAAGAGATGCAAAGAGGTATATTTGCAAGCTATTCCAGCTTTTTTTATTAATTGGCGTAACCTCAACCCTGAATGAATTTCCTTCATTATATACTACCAATTTGAACTTAATTATATCACATTAACGTCTGTTGTCCTCGCCTGGATAAACACTAAGTGCAAATTTGGAAAGCAGAACATGACAAGTTTAGACAAGCGTAATGAATAAGATTTTAGCTTATTTTCTTCACCACTACAGTATTAAATAAATGCATGCGAAAACACACTAACCTCAGTGATTAGGTTCTCTCTCGCAGTGAAAGTTTCCTGTGTCTCAAGGAAAAATGGCGGAATATAGACTTCAAAACTCTCACTATTTGTGTGACCTCTTTCCACAAAATTTTCTGTAGTCGTTTCTAGCACCTCTGTCGAGGCCATACCCTCGCTTGCATGAACCATGTCATCACGAAAATGAAATGCATGATCGTTGCCTCTCGACCTGATGGACTCATCGTTGACGTTCGGAAAACCATCTCCATATTCCTCCATCCTATGAATAGGTAAAGCAGGACATTGCAGGTTCCTAAGAGCAGCCTCAACATAATCAATTGTTAACCAAGACATCCCATAGGATGAGACTGGATAATGTGCAGCAGAAACATCAGAAAGATTTAAGCTTGTTGGTATATTATCCACATGATTTTCTGTTCTTCTAACATAGATATCTCTGGAACTCCCCTCCATGTGACTTGCTATGCTTGAAGTTTCTTGCACAGCAATTCCCCCATTAATTCTGTTTCCAAATCTAAGGTGCTCATTGTTTATAGGATTATCGTTTGAATAGCTACTTGAGGACCCAAAGAAGTTCCAGTTCCAAGGAAAAGTAACTTGAGCAGAATTTATTTCTTGGATATAATTTTCATCACCAAGAGTAAACAGGTCGTCTGTTTGCTGATGTTGGTCCCAAGAAAGTCCACCAGGTGTCACTAGCACCCTTCTGCCAAATAGCTTGAAATGTGAAGGTTCACGTTCCGATCCAAATTCCCTATCTCTTTCCAAGCCTCCAGAATCGTCACTATATGTTTCATTCAAATTTATCATTTGCTGTGGCAATTCAGAAATTGGAGCATTCAAATCTATCGTCACAGGTCTGTTACCATGATACCCTGATGAAATATCTTGAGCATCCTCATAGGGAATAGACCCAGAACTGCAGGCAATGAACATCTGATGAGGATAAAAATTAACATGGTAAGTGTTGCAACTGTTTTGACCTTGCATCAAGTTTGATTTTGAATCCTGTGAAGGCTAATATGAAATCCAAAAAAGGTACAAAGACTTCTCTGCAAGATTGAACCTGCATCATAATGTTAAATTCAATAAGAATTATTGGCGTTAGAAAAAAAAGATAGATATAAAGGTGATATCTGAGGCTTTGCATTCTTATCTCAACTCCTCAGCTCTATTCTTTCCAAAAAACAAAAGAAAATGAAGAAAACCGGAAAAAAGTGGAGAAAATGTAAAAAGAACAACTATAAAATTATGTGGAAAAACGAAGCGAAGACATCAGGTGCACGAGCCTATGTGTGCATGCATGTGTATATTACTATATACATAATATTAAATGCACATGTGTGCATGGGAAAAGGGTACATGACTGGAATCACGGATGCTCGAGAATAAAGAAATCTAG